TTCTTTGCCTTGGGATCAAGCTTCAAGCGGTGAGGACCAAGGATGTGTGCAAAGCAGACACACCCAAACACCCTGAGAGGAACATGAAACATCTCCCCCTGAGGAAAAAGAAGGCTGAATGGAGTGCTCAATCCAAGTATACGAGAAGGCACCCTGTTAATCAGATATACTGCTGTGAGAACTGCATCACCCCAAAACCGAACCGGAACTGTAGATGTGATAATCATGCTTCTTGCAGTCTCAACAATGTGTCTGTTCTTCCTTTCTGCAACACCATTCTGTTGTGGACTATAGGAGTAGCTGCTCTGATGGACAACACCATATTCTAACAAATACGAGGCAAGATGTCTTTCAAAATATTCCCTGGCATTGTCAGATYTGAACACCTTTATTCTTGTTCCAAACTGTGTTAGTACCATCTGATGAAATTGCCTCACCAAGGATAATACTTCATCGCGGGATTTCATCAGGTAAATCCAAGAGTATTGAGAGAAATCATCCACAAATAGGAGAAAATAGTGATAGCCTCCCATAGAAGGAACATGGTAAGGGCCCCACACACCCGAATGAATAACATCAAAAGAAGAAGAACATCTTTTATTACTAGGTTTAAAAGAATGTCTACAATGCTTTCCAAGTTGACAACCTTCACACTCCAGACTTTACAGACTAACAGACTCAAAAAGTTTTGGAAACAAAGAACTCGAAGAAGAAAAAGATAAATGGCCCAAACGATTATGCCAAAGCATAATCTGACTCACAGATCCTGACTCACTGTCCCTGCTAACATGATGACTCTGGTGAGGGGGAAGAACATCCAGAAGGTAGATTCCATTCACTTCACGACCACTCCCAATCGTCCTCTTTGAATCCAGATCCTGCAAAATACARYRTYCAGGAGAAAAAATTACTGAGCAGTTMAGATTCTTAGTCAAACTACTAACAGATAACAAATTAGTGCTCAATCTGGGAACATGAAGGACAAAGGGTAAACAAATAGAATCATTAATCTTGACAGATCACTTCCCAGCAATAGGAACATGGGATCCATCAGCTGTGGAGACCCTATCTCTGCCAGAACAGCTGGTAAGAGGAAAAAATAGTGGAGCTATGGGTCATGTGCTCTGAGGCTCCAGAATCTATAATCCAAGGAGGTCCC